TATTACTCAGGCATCTTTTTGGATTACTAACTTGTGAAGTTGGTTGTGAAGTAATGATACTTAATTTTTGCCTATGCTGTCCAACCTCTCTGCCAGAGCCCTAACTGTACATCAACTTTTTTTTCAGGCAGCTCTTGTCTGCAGGTCTGAATCGCAGGAGGCAGTTGGGAGACATCGAGTTCTCCAACAGATATGCAGAGTTCCTTCGGTCTAAAGCCAAGCACACATCCATCTGTGCCTTCCTGCGCCGCATGCAAGGAGTGAAGAAGAGGTGAGATATAACTGGCAAACTAGTAGAACTACATTTAGACCTACTGTTTTTTGCAATCTGTGCAAACAGCTGCAAAAAATTATCTACAGTAGATTTGAAAATGTTTAATCATTTCATGATTAGCTTCTTTAGCCCTCCGTAGAGGACATGGGTTGTTCTAGACTGGGGGTAACAGGGGCCAGTGCCTCTGTAGTACTAGTCCTGGCTCTGGTTATGGCCCCTCTACTGAAGAGAAAAATAACGTTTTATAAGCATATTTATTGGCACAAAAACAATAAGTGATTGTTCCCTTGGGCAAATTAACATGTTTAAATTAACAATATTTGAAAAGTAAGTGTTGCACCTTTATCTTTAGTGATATTGGCATTGGGCCACAACCTTCCTTTGCTGGTTTAAAGTCTCAAGAGCCATACGTTTTTGCAGCTTTCTTGATATATTTAATGATAAACTATTGTCTTGTTGCCTTTGTAAATTCTCAGTCATGCAGATTATGGAAACCAAAAAGCAGGCTTAAATTGGAGGCAACCAAACTTTTACTCAGTTTTTCTGAAGTAATTTCGACAACTATCCAGCAGTTTTTCTCAACCTGTCAGCTTATACTATAGCGCAATCTGTAGTTGGAGGGCTGATCATTTTTAAACAGCATGGAGTTCCATAACCCAAAGTACATACCAGGTCATATGCACATCAATGGTCAACCTGTTGTGCGCCTGTTTTGTTTTGTATGTCAGATGTGTTGGGTCATTAAAATGATGAGGATTGTTCTTTGGTCTTTTCTTTGGAAGGAGTTCTAAATCTAAATATTTTGGTCATCAAATATGTGCAGCATATGTACATTTCATTAACATTCTGTATTTGTTCTTTGGTTTCTCCAATATAGAGCTCTGAACAGTTCTCTCAGCACCTGGCCGCAAAAATAACCTATTTATACCTATTTAAGATGTAGCGTGTTAATATAAATAGATATCAAGTTTTTGTTGTTTACTATGAACTTTGATACATTTCATATCTACACTACCATATTGCAGTTTAAACAGTTCTTGTCACACTTTTCCCACCAAACTAAAAGGTTGTAAATAAGTGGATGATATTTTCAGATATTTAGTCAATTTTGGTTACTTATATTCATTATAAAATTTGATTTATATTAAAAATTAAAATGATAATTGTTCTCAGTTGACTAGAAAGTAATTCCAATTCATTAGCGTCTAACATGATAAAAAGGGACTGCATCATTTCTTCACCTAGTTGATGGTTTCTTTGATAGTGCAGTAACTGAATCTCCAACTGTTGGCAGAAGTGACTCTGTTTAGGATTACAGGTAGTTAATTCTCCAAAGTACGATGTCCACTGGTAGGTGCCTGGTATTGATAAGGCTGCAGTTATCAGTGGTGTTCTGCCTTAGGAACACCTAATACAATCAACGAAGCTCTTAATTGGTTGGATTAGGTGTGTTTTAGAGCTTATTTGATTAATGAATTTGAGTTCTTGGATGAAATACCCTAAATCTGCACCAGTCATTTAAAACAGGGATTAGCTCTGCAAATGGATGAATAAACATTATATACGTTTGTTTTGAAATTATTTTGTTGCACCAAATAAGGATTTTGCTGATAAAATCAAACTGAGTGAAGCTTTGACGAGTTTAATTAAGTGTAAAAAAAAAAAACCTGCTGTAGGTGCTATATGAGAATTGATTATAAAAGACTGGAAAAAACAGGTCCACAAATTAAGGAAGTGACTTTTAGAATTACCAGTTACAGTTGCAGTAAAGTGATCAGCAGCTTTATTATCAGTTAGATAAGAAAATAAAACTTAGCAGCTGACTTTGCCCTGCCCATGTTTCCTGCTTGCTTATGTGCACCATCTTTTCAGTTAGAGTAAACCTTCCCTGCTAATTTAGCACATTAAAAGCCTCAGATAAAGGTATGTGTTTTTTGTTTCCTCTAGCGTGTTTTGTAAAGGCCACTTTATAAAACACACCAATTGTGATCTCTTTCTTTTGTCCACAGTGGCGTTGGAGGAGACATGGAAAAAGTCAACCTGCTGCTCAAACATTACATGTGCCCTTCCATTTATAACAACTGGCCAACTGACCTGTAGAGGGCGCTCAGCAAGGACAGAGAGATTTAAGCTTCTTACTTGGACAAACAAGTTTATTAAAGTGGTGGAGAAATCTCTGTACATGCGACTGTTGTATTTCATGTAGAAACAAACATCTTTGCTACTAAAATGTATCTAAAGATAATTTCCTTAAAGGATTTACTCTTTGTTTTTAAATCAATGATCTTCTGTTGATAGTAGAGAGTAAGCTAGTCCACAATAGCTACACTAGTGAAGACTGGGCACTTGAAAAAAACACCTGAAATGAAATTCATGTTTAAGTTGCCTCAAAGGGGCATTGTGCAAATAAAGAATTTTAATTAAGTAAAGTTTCTTTTATTAATAACCTTCACTGAGAGCAATTCTAAAGTGTCATGTTTTAGTTATAGGAAGCTCAGATGTACAGTAGAGCGCTACAAAAAACTAGGTATGATGCTTTAATGATATAAAAAAAAGGCTGTTCAACTCTTGCCTTTAGGTCGGTGTTACAGCAAAAACAAAATTACCTTGTGAGCAAATTCTTTTTCCTGACTGTGTCCAAATGTCCACCCTAATCCCTAACCCCTTAATCACTATAAAGTGTAGAGACTATATAGTATAAATAAATAAACAGAGATCAATAGATTTCACTCAGTCAGGACTTTATTCATATCTTTGCAAAGAGAGAACAGTTCATCATGCAGCCCTTATGGCACAGTATTCTGCCCTGTTCTGCCTGAGCAGTGTTCATCCCCCCCCCCTTACTTACAACATTGGAAAGTAGTCAGAGTCAAAATAAATTTAACAAAATTTAACAAACCTTGAGAAGTAATTTGGCTTGTTGTGGGAATAAGTAAACCCCCCCTCACTCAGACATTTTCTCAGCCTTACAGGTAAAACAAACTGAGTAAAAACATTTTTTCACTGGTTAAATATCATAACTAAATATATGAGAGAGAAATCTAAAGTCTCCGACCACAACTCTCATGGTCAAATCTTACTCAGCTACAAGTTAAAGGTTCCTGCACCAACTTTGTTCTCTCTTGTCCCCACAACAAATCCCATCATGCTTTGTGAGGAGAGTTATTGTAAAGCACTCTGGGATATATCTGCTCATCTAGTGACCATTGATGTACACTTCTTTTTTAAGGTGGGACATTTTGAGTCCGCTACTTTTTAATCCACCAGACAATCATGAAAAATGGCGTAACCTTATAGTGCTCTATATAGGGGTTAGGGTGCACATTCGGACACAGCCTCTGTCTCTGTTAAACACTATCAGGGACCAAGTAATAAAGCATGCAGGATACATGCATTAAATTCAAACAGGTGGTATTTTATTTACCCTGAGAAATATGCTACATGATTAACTAAACAAAAACATAGTTAGTCAGGCTATAATAAACTAGACTACCTGTTAACAGTAATCTTCTTATCTTTATAAAAAAAAAATCATCTTAATATGAAATTAAATTACACTCTATATCTGAATGAAATTAAACTAGATATAGGCATCTACGGGCAGAAAGGTTTATAGGTGACCAAACTGAAGACAGTCAGGACACAACTAGAACATGATTAAACTTTAACATCTAACAAGATGTGTGGCCTGATGGATCTCTGCCTATCAACCACATACTTACAATACAGTGATAACTTTTACAAATAGAAACATGGGCTCCCCAGTTTCACCCATTGTTGCCAATATCAATATTGAGGGGGTGAGCAGGGCACTCAGCACGTACAAGGGAACACAACCAACTCATTGGTTCAGATATGGGGATGGTAGCTGTGGAAAAATCCAAACTCAGGAAGTTAAGATATTAACCAATCACATTAACTAGGGGACTGAAACATCAAGATTACTAGAGAGGATGTGAAGGACAAGATGTTGCCATTTTTGGATTGTGGTTTACAAACTCAGAATCAGAATCAGAAATACTTTAATAATCCCTGAGGGAAATTACTTTTGTTACATGCTCCAGTTACAGTTTTAGACTGAATCACATATAGAGATTGATGACCACAGGTAGGAATGACTTCCTGTGGCGCTCTGTGGCGCATCTGGGTAGGAGGAGTCTTCTGCTGAAGGAGCTCGTCTGCTGGACCAGTGTGTCATGGAGAGGATGTGAGTCATTGTCTAAGATGGACTGAAACCTGGACAGCATCCTCCGCTCTGCCAACGTGGTCAGAGTGTCCAGCTGCTCCCCCACAACATCACCGGCCCTCCTGATCAGTTTGTTCAGTCTGTTGTTGTCAGCGACCCTCAACCCACTGCCGGAGCATGTGACAGCAAAGAAGAGCGTGCTAGCTACAACAGACTCATAAAACATCCTCAGCATCGCCCCACAGATGTTAAAGGACTTCAGCCTCCTCAGGAAGAATAGTCGGCTTTGGCCTTTTTGTAGACTGCCTCAGTGTTTCTAGTCCAGTCCAACTTATTGTTTAAGTACACTCCCAGGTACTTATACTCCTCCACAGTGTCAACAGGAACCCCCTGGATGGAAACAGGGGTCACAGGTGTTTTCTCAGGGCAGAGCGCGTACGCAGTCCCCCACTACCACAAATTATGCAGTCGAGATTCCCACATTTGGGGAATTCGCAAAGGGGTGCAATGGCCAAGCCTCACTCTGGGTGAACCTCCTTCATGATCAAGGTATCGCCCCTGCCAGGTAAGTATATAAACTGAGGACAATGGGAGTCTTGATACTGAGGTTTACCAGAAACCTGCACACCTGCCTTTTAACTTGCATCTATTGGAACAAGAACTTTCTGTTATCAGAAATCTGAGTTACCAGGCTGAGAATGTTCCATCAATTATAGAAAAGAAATGAAAAGACCACAAACAGGAAATCACCTAAAGCATGTGTTTATCCAAACTAAGCATTTGTTAAGTCGGCAAAAAACACTAGCAGGAAGAACCACATTAGAGAACAGAGGCTACGATCATCCTGCAGACAAATGTGGCCCAATCCAATTTTTTTAGCCTTGAAGTGGCTGGTGGGATTCTTTCAGGACTGTATAAATATTGCAAGTCACATCAAATTGGACTTGTTTCAGTCTGATCTGGGCCACATTTGTATGTAGTTTTGAATCCGTCACAGGTCACAGGTTTTTTGAAATGCAACTGTGGACTGAACAGCTAGGTGACCCATATCAGAATTAGTATGGCGAAGATGACCCTCTCTACTGACAGCAAGCAACAAGAACAATTACATGAACATGGGCAGCATAGACATAAGTGTACGGTGGAGGGACAATGAAATGTTGGAGTTAATAAGTATCAACTCCAAAAGAAACTTGAGGGGTCATGCCATAACAGGTCAGCTGACTACAACGCTGCACCAACAAATTTCTACTCTAAGATGTTGCTGCCACTGCTCCTTAAAAAGCCCTAATTAACAGTTTAGGTCTTTTTTTTTCTTAACTCTCCTTCAGTGCATTGTCTGCTGTATCATCCAGTTACCTCCACTGCTGAAAAGCTTTAAATGCATCAATAGAAACAGAATTCTGACATGTCTCGTTATCGCATATGGGTTACTTCAGGGAAATAATTTGAGATGGTTATGTGAACAGCCACACAACTTGGATCTGACAAAAATTTGGCTTGAGCAGTGTTAACATAGTCAGAGAGAG